ACTAATGCTCTGGACGTCTTGTATGACGGGTTCAGTGAGGAGATTGGTGGGCCTGTCCCTGAAAATTGTGCGTATGCTGTTCTCATCCAACACCTGCACAGTCTGTATAAGAATAAAGCACAAGGCAAAAACAAAGTGAATAAAGTCAAACTTCTTCACAAGAAGGCAATAGTCATCCCAGCAGGCCAGAAAGTTGCAGTAGATGGCTATACGAGGAACGTGAATAGTCTTTCTGGCACTTCCCTATTGGTAGATTTCCCATCTCATTCATACTTACCACAGGGAAACGCCTTTCCTATCATGTCAGACAGAAAGAGGACAAAGAAGTCCAACTCATGCTTCGAGTGCAGGATCAACTCGTCATTAACAATGCGGTCCTTTACCGCAAGAGGATGAACAGTGGTAAACCATTTTTCCAGCTGGTTCTTCCCACAAAGTATCGTGAAACAGCTCTAGAAGGTCTCCACGATTCAGTTGGACACATGGGATTCGAGAGGACCATAGACCTGGTCCGTACACGGTTTTATTGGCCAAAGATGTCTACGGACGTAGATAAGAAGTTGCGAACTTGTGAGAGATGTATTCGTCGCAAAGCAAAAGCTGAGAGGACAGCCTGTCTTGTGAACATTAGGACCAGCAGACCACTTGAACTAGTCTGCATGGATTACCTGTCTTTGGAACCTGATGGCCGTGGGACAAAGGACATTCTAGTAATAACTGACCATTTTACAAAATATGCTGTTGCAGTACCTACTGCAGACCAGAAGGCCAAGACGGTAGCCAAGACGTTGTGGAACAGTTTCTTTATTCACTATGGCATACCTGAGCGTCTACATAGCGATCAAGGTCGGGACTTTGAATCTGCTGTAATCAAAGACCTTTGCCTGCTGTTGGGGATCAAGAAAACCAGAACCACCCCTTATCATCCACGCGGCAATCCTGTGGAACGGTTCAATAGAACGCTTTTGGAGATGCTTGGGACTCTAGAGGAAGAAAGTAAGGCCAGGTGGCGAGACTATGTGCAGCCTTTGGTGCACGCATACAATTGCACCAGAAATGACACAACAGGCTTTTCTCCTTACCAGCTAATGTTTGGGAGGCAGCCAAACCTCCCAATTGATGTGGCGTATGGATTACACCCAGAGGGGCAGAGCAGAACCACTCATATTGATTATGTGAAAAGGCTCAAAGAGAATCTGCAGGAGAGCTACAGACTTGCAGTGGAACACAGTGAAAGAATCGCTCAGAAAAACAAACAGAGATATGACATGAAAGTAAGAGAATCCATCTTGGAAGTAGGAGACCATGTCCTCGTCAAGAATGTCGGGGTGCGGGGCAAACACAAGATAGCTGACCGCTGGAGTCGAACTGTGTACAAAGTAGTGAAACACATAAATGATTCTCCTGTCTATGTCGTAGCACCTGTTCATTCTGATGGCCCTGAAAGGACACTGCATCGTGACTTGCTCTTACCTTGTGGCTTCCTGGCTCCATCCGAAGAAGCAGAAGAGAATCAGCATAAGCAAAACAAAGCCACAGTGCAACCTGCTCAGACTCCAGTGTCTGGAGAGGGAGAACAGCTGGAATCATATGATAGTGAGGAGGAAGTTGATTACGACTATCCAGAGGAAATGCTGGTGACAATTCACCCACCTGTCACTGTTGTCCATGAAATCCCTCAGATTGAACCTAGGCCTCCTTCAGGAGAGGAAAACACCAACACAAGCCCTGAGGAATCAAGACTGAGACCTGAAGCTGAGGTATTCCAGCCAACAGAGGATTGGAGAGAAAATTTCCACAAAGTGAAAGGGGGTAATGATTTGCCTAATGAGATAGGAAAGAGGGATGATGAGATGAGTCTTAAAGTTGAGGAAGATGATGAGGTGCAAACCATACCTGAAAAAGAACATGAAGACAAAGAGGAACCTGTGAAGAAAGAAAACAAAAATGAACAATCAGAGGAACATGAACCTGAAGATTTGAGTGTGAATGATGTCCTACAAAAAGTGGACGCAGAAGTGCGAAGATCAGTTAGACATAGGGTAGAGCCTGACCGGCTGACTTACCAGACATTAGGGAACCCCTTGACTCTAGTTATGCACTCCTTGTTGAATGGTCTTGACCAGGCTTTTACAAAAGCTTTGGACTTACATCCCACACTGAAGTTTACTGCTTTAAAAACAGACCAACTGACTACTATTTAAGTAGCTATAGATACATGCAGGGACGCATGCACATTCAGGGGGGGAGGATGTAGCCCACATAAACTGTACAGGACTGAGATAGTTGCTGTGATTCTCCATTCCCCTAGATGGCGCTGTTTCACGTTTTATTGTCTGAGTCACTCTGTTGCACAGCTAAAGAAGACTGGGGATTTATTTTTTTTCTACCCTCTCGTCAAGTGCATTGTGAGATGAAGACGGAGTGAGATAAATATAGTAAAGCAGATCGCTTAACACACAGAATAAATAATTTTCAATGTTGTAAAAGCTTAAAGAAGTTTTAGTTATTGTAAACTGCCGTTTGCACTTTTGTTTTCCTTGCTTGTTTTAAGAATCTTCGACTGGTTTTTTTGTGTGTGTGCATATTTTGCCACTGTTGAGAGAGAGAGAGATTCTACGGCGAGCCAGCGATCCTGTGATTCAGCGATTCAGTGATTCTGGAGTGTGACCGTAACCAGTGGCCATCAACTCACCAAGTGGATGGACCGCACATTTTCGGATACATCATACAGATAAGATTTAAAGAGATCTCCAACGTTATCACACACTGCCGGTAGTGATTTGAAACAAGGCCTTTTGACAAACCACATTGGAACTGAATTGATTGGAACTGAAACTCAACTGAGTTGAACATTGAACTATTTGACTGGACTGATTTTTTTTTCTTTTCTTTTAACTGACTGACTATTTTGGGGAAATTTGTTATTATTGTTTTTTTTGTGTGTTTCACAATCCATCTGGAATGTTAAAATAAATGTTTTGATACTGCGTTTGCTATTCAAACAGAGGTCGTAGCCAATTCATTTCAAGAGCCGAACCTAATTCTGGTTTCTAATAACTTAAATATCACTAAAATAGGTCACTGTGGTATACTAATTGATGTTTTAAGTAACTCTTGTTACACAAACAATTAAGCTATTCAGTAGTAAAGTCAAAATATAATAAAAATTATCATGTCCCCATTTGTGTTTTGTCTCAAAATAAGAAACACTTACATAGCTGGTAGCCCACATTGTGATATGTTGTCCCATTTAGAGCACTGGTAATCTGGATTTGGTAATCTTGAAAACTGTGTATCTGGATCAGGGTGATTCAGTCCAATGTTGCTTTGAAAAACCGGCATAAAAGTAAGACGGATTACCTGATCCTGGATAGGAAAAAAAGGGATTTCCAAATCCGGATCATTTTGATCCAGATTAAATGTTTTGAACAACTGGCCCCAGAAAAAGCCAACATTGACCCCATTGTTGTTGAGGGACCGACACATGCCCCTCATAAACAATACCCCATCCGACCTGAAGCAAGACAAGCCGTGGAGGAGATAGTGACGGACTTGGAAGCTGAAGGAATCATCAGACAAACTTCATCTACCACTAATAGTCCTCTCTGGCCTGTCAAGAAATCGGACAACTCGTGTGGAGATTAACCATTGATTACACAATGGTTGAAACAGACTCCCACAAGGTCTTAATCTTTCTCCTGCTGTATTTCATGTCAATGACTTGTAAATAGCAAGCCCATATAAAAACAGCCATATATTTGCTCTGAATGTTGTCCTACAAGCCCTCAGGAAAGGGGGATTCAAAGTTAACCCCGACAAAGCACAGCTGGATAAACCCAAGGTTATCTAAGAAATGGGAAAGGAGAATGACAACAGAGCCTGTAGAAGCATTGCGGCAACTTACAGGAATGCGCAAGGTGATGGGACTTTTCAACTATTGTCATTAGTATACCTGATTTTGCTAGCATCACCAGCCCCCTCATTGACCTGTACAAGGGAGGAAAGCCGGGAGTGGAAAAGATCAACTGGACACCAGAAGCTGAGGAAGGGTTTACTTCTATGAAAGAAAAACTGACTTTAGCCCCAGCTTTGGGACTTGGTCCGATGGACGATTGCAGTATCATTTGTGGACCAGTGTAGGAGATGAGACGTATTCGGCAGTACTGTGATCAATACAGACCAGTTGGATACTTTTCCACAAAAATTCCTGTCACTACGTTTGGGCAACCACGATGTATACAAGCCCTCGATGGTGCCACATGAGCAGTGGTTGCTGTTGAGAATCTGATAGGAGCACAAACTATCATATTGCACACTCCACACAGTATAGTGACACTGCTGAACAACACAAACATTAAAAACATAACTGAGCAAAATGGGAAGCAACTTTGTTGAGCAAGGATTTGAGTTTGGAAATCATCAGAGACACTTCTCTTAACCCTGCAGCAATGATGCTGGAACCACATGAGGGAATATCACATGAGTGTGTAAAACAAGTAGAAGAAGAAAGTCTTGGTCAATCCAATCCCTCTTGAAAATCCAGACAAGGAGTTATGCGTCGATGGATCCAGTTACTATGTTGATGGATTTACACATAGAATTTAAATACCAATAATATACGGGGACATAGCATGGGATGGGTTTCTGTTTTCCTGTCTATTTTCTTGGTCTGTTATTTCTTTCTCTTGAAGTTTATCTCCTAACATATATAAATAAAACCCTTTCTTGGCAAGATTACTGGTGTCCGGTCCCATAAATTGAATAATAACGGGGAAACAAGAGGCTTTAATTCCAAGTCTACACCAAGTTGTTGAATTCCAAATCAAAATAAATGTACCACATTCATGGACAGATACCTATTTGATAAAAATTATTGTAGTATTTTATAGCAGTTGACTATTACATCAGAGCTCACTTGTATGTCCTTTCACTTTATATTTCTCTATTTGAATTATTGATCTACTAAAAATTAAATTCATATTTTTCTTTCATGTCAGACCTGATGGAGGAGAGCGATGAGAGAGAAGAACTGAGTGAAGTGGAGGAGGAACATCATGTCCAACCTGGAGGAAAACCTTTGAGTCGCTCAAAGACTAAAAAGACATTTTTGAAGAAAAGAAGAGCCAAGAAATCTTTCACCTGCACTCAGTGTGGAAAGAGTTTCACAACCAAACTTAGTCTAGAGATTCACATGAGGATCCACACTGGAGAGAAGCCGTTCTCATGTGATCAGTGTGGAAAGAGTTTCTCAACCAAACAAAGTCTTAGGGATCACATGAGAATCCACACTGGAGAGAAGCCGTTCACATGTGATCAGTGTGGGAAGAGTTTCGCACGAAAATCATGTCTTGATGTTCACATGAGAGTTCATACTGGAGAGAAGCAGTTCATGTGTGAACACTGTGAAAAGAGATTCGCTCGGAGACAAAATCTTAATTCTCACATGAAGACCCACACCGGAGAGAAGCCGTTCTCATGTGATCACTGTGGCAAAACATTTCTTTGGTCATCAAACCTGAAGAAACACCTGAGACTTCATACGAAGGAGAAGCCGTATTCATGTTCTGTGTGTGGAAAGAGTTTTTCAGTGCTGCCATATTTACAAGAACATCAGAAAATACATTCTGGTGTGAGAGAGTACATGTGCTTTGAGTGTGAGAAGACTTTTATTACAGCTCAACATTTAAAACTGCACCAGAGGATTCACACTGGAGAAAAACCTTACAAGTGTTCACACTGCGACAAGAGATTCAGTCGGTCAGGAACTCTGAAAACACATGAGAAGATCCACAGCAGAGAGAAGCCGCACACGTGTGATCAGTGTGGAAAGAGTTTCTCTTATAAAAATCAGCTGAAGATACACATGAAGATCCACACAGTGAAGAAACCACCTAGTGGAGAAACCAATTAGTTTCCTAACAGCCATGATGAGGGGCAGGACAGATTGTATGGGTGGGTGTTGTGACAATTTTATTTTGTGATCTTGAAGACTTTATGTCTTTGTAAAAGCGATTTTTGTCTTTGTCTTAGCGATAGATAATGATTAAGTGCTTGTGTTATAGATTAGCGGAGTGCGATATTGACAAAAATTAAATAAAATTGCAACCTTATCATGAAAATCATGAAATTTGTGTCAAGCCCTTAAAATAACAGTAGTCTACCCGTCATGTAAACATAACATATTGTCTCTAAATTAATGAAGTTCTGTTTAGTTTCCACTTGTTTTGACAACCACAATGAAAGCTTTAGCATAAGTTCTGCTAGGAAGACGTAATTACCACATTACTTGTTACCTTCAGGTTATCCAATCACGTTCGCAGATGCCGACGCGACAACAACCTCCACCCTCCCCACCACCACCAGGATGGTCCCGTCTATACTTCCCTGGGGGTCGGCTGCGCCCGCCTTCGTCTTCAGGCAAGAAATGCTGATCCGCTACCCTCGGATTACGATCTATGGACGGGGCCTACGCCAAAGAACTTTGCAAATAATTGCCTGCTGGGCTGTCAATAAATGGATGCTTTGTTACATCATTTTATCTCCCGAGTCTTTCTGGTAGAAATATTGTGATGAAAGGATTTTTTCCTTGAAAATTCAAAGGAATTTTCAAAGTTTGTAATGGGAATTAACAGATTAATTTACAAAATTGCATGTAAGACTACAGGCTCTATCTTGCACCTGGCTTAATTGACTTTATACACTAACGCATGTCTCATTCTTATTTTACCCTGCTTTCTCAGGTTTGACATACCTCCTATTCTGAAACGGAAAACCCAGAGTTTCCCTCATTTCAGGGTTAACATACTCAGCGTTTTCACTTAACCTCCTTTCTGAAACAGGCCCCAGGTGGCAAACTTAGGAAAAGTAGCAAAACAATTAGGCAAAGTTTTGTACCGCTCAGTTTCAAAAGGATTTTGCCCACATTTCACTCTCCAGTCCAGTGTGTGGCGGTAAGTCACTATCGTTTGTTGCCGACCATCATTAAACAAGGGGGTAATCCATCGACTAGAAGTTGAAGCCTCGCGGGAGCTGCCATCTTGTAGCAGAACTTCACTTGCGTTAGCATTTCCATTGACTCCCATTCATTTTGGCGTCACTTTGACAGTGAATAACTTTACATCCGAGGCGTTTGAAGACCTCATTTGTCCACTAATTATTTCTAAAGAAACACAACAATGTATAAAATTCTCCATTACCTTGTAGCTTATGCTATGGCCTCGTAGAAGCAGTTTTTTTGTAAAAGTAGGCTAACGATTGCGTCATACCCAAGCGACTCTCTGTCGCACAGTAGAGAGATTACCGTATGGACAGGAGAAGAAGCTCGTGCGCAATCGGGGAAACGTGGAGGCAAAATGACAAAATAATTAATCAGAATACCTAGCAAAAGTTTCTCCTGCTCCTAGCTCATGGACAGCTCCTACTCACACTCTCCACCTCTTTATGTTTCGGAAGGGAATGATTCAGATTTCTCATGCCACAGCACTAGAAGACAGACGGGTCACTCACGTCACATCTACGTAGTCAAGCTCTGTTTGAGTCGGTTTGAGTCTGCGCGTCAGGGACGGAAGTGCTACAAAAAAAAATAAAAAAATAAAAAAAATCGCCAAAAATGGGCTTCACTTGTCTCAATGGAGTTCCAATGAGATGGCTCTGTCCATTTTTTTATACTGTCTATGGGAAGAAGATGATCTCTTCTGTTTTGTCGTGCAACTGGCGGTAGGTGGCGGTAAATGCACCTTAAGTTGGTTTGCTAACCGCCAGCTAAACTCTAAAAGAAGAATTAGTTGTGCAAATGGCATGATACAAACTGTTATAACTGTGTGTGAAGTCTATAGAAAGATGGCGATTTTGAGTTGGGTCAGTGAAGAACTGCAATATTCTCATCCTCATAGACGAGACTAGAAGTAGTGATGGCAAGATGAGGCTTCCTGAACCACTGAGACCTCGCAGCCCATTGCTTCACCCAAAGGTTCAATACTCGAAGCTTCATTCAGCATTAGTCACTAGTGACACCTAGCTACTGTGCAAAGAAATAGCAGACAAATTAAATCATTCTGAACCAATGACCCGCCTCCCTCCCGCTCTGTTTTATTTGTTTATCTTCTTCTCACTGTTAATGTCTGTAACCTTTCATTTGCAGTAATAAAGAGATCTGTGCAAACATTTGTCCATTGCCTCACAATTCTGACTTTATATCATGCATTTCTGACTTTTTAACTCACAATTGCGACATTATATCACGCAATTCTGACTTCATAACACGCAATTCTGACTTTATAATATGCAATTGCGACATTATATCACGCAATTCTGACTTTATAACACGCAATTCTGACTTTATAACACGCAATTCTGACTTTATAGCACGTAATTCTGACTTTATAACACGTAATTCTGACTTTATAACATGCAATTCTGACTTTATATCTCGCAATTCTGACTTTATATCTCGGAATTCTGACTTTATATCTCACAATTCTGACTTTATAACACGCAATTCTGACTTTATAATATGCAATTGCGACATTATATCACGCAATTCTGACTTTATAACACGCAATTCTGACTTTATAACACGCAATTCTGACTTTATAACACGTAATTCTGACTTTATAACATGCAATTCTGACTTTATATCTCGCAATTCTGACTTCATATCTCGCAATTCTGACTTTATATCTCGCAATTCTGACTTTATATCACGCAATTCTGACTTTATATCACGCAATTCTGACTTTATATCACGCAATTCTGACTTTATATCTCGCAATTCTGACTTTATATCTCGCAATTCTGACTTTATATCTCGCAATTCTGACTTTATAACACGCAATTCTGACTATATCTCGCAATTCTGACTTTATATCTCGCAATTCTGACTTTATATCTCGCAATTCTGACTTCATATCTCGCAATTCTGACTTTATATCTCGCAATTCTGACTTTATATCTCGCAATTCTGACTTTATAACATGCAATTCTGACTTTATATCTCGCAATTCTGACTTTATATCACGCAATTCTGACTTTATAACACGCAATTCTGACTTTATAACACGCAATTCTGACTTTATAACACGTAATTCTGACTTTATAACACGCAATTCTGACTTTATAACACGCAATTCTGACTTTATATCTCGCAATTCTGACTTTATAACACGCAATTCTGACTTTATAACACGCAATTCTGACTTTATAGCACGTAATTCTGACTTTATAACACGCAATTCTGACTTTATAACACGCAATTCTGACTTTATATCTCGCAATTCTGACTTCATAACACGCAATTCTGACTTCATATCTCGCAATTCTGACTTTATATCTCGCAATTCTGACTTTATATCTCGCAATTCTGACTTTATAACATGCAATTCTGACTTTATATCTCGCAATTTTGACTTTATATCTCGCAATTCTGACTTCATATCTCGCAATTCTGACTTTATATCTCGCAATTCTGACTTTATATCACGCAATTCTGACTTTATATCACGCAATTCTGACTTTATATCACGCAATTCTTACTTTATATCACGCAATTCTTACTTTATATCTCGCAATTCTGACTTCATATCACGCAATTCTGACTTCATATCTCGCAATTCTGACTTTATAACACGCAATTCTGACTTTATAACACGCAATTCTGACTTTATATCTCGCAATTCTGACTTTATAACACACAATTCTGACTTTATAACACGCAATTCTGACTTTATAACACGCAATTCTGACTTTATAGCACGTAATTCTGACTTTATAGCACGTAATTCTGACTTTATAACACGTAATTCTGACTTTATAACATGCAATTCTGACTTTATATCACGCAATTCTGACTTCATATCTCGCAATTCTGACTTAATATCTCGCAATTCTGACTTTATATCACGCAATTCTGACTTTATATCACGCAATTCTGACTTTATATCTCGCAATTCTGACTTCATATCTCGCAATTCTGACTTCATATCTCGCAATTCTGACTTCATATCTCGCAATTCTGACTTTATATCTCGCAATTCTGACTTTATATCACGCAATTCTGACTTTATATCACGCAATTCTGACTTCATATCTCGCAATTCTGACTTTATAACACGCAATTCTGACTTCATATCTCGCAATTCTGACTTTATATCACGCAATTCTGACTTCATATCTCGCAATTCTGACTTTATATCACGCAATTCTGACTTCATATCTCGCAATTCTGACTTCATATCTCGCAATTCTGACTATATCTCGCAATTCTGACTTTATATCACGCAATTCTGACTTTATATCTCGCAATTCTGACTTTATATCACGCAATTCTGACTTTATATCTCGCAATTCTGACTTTATAACATGCAATTCTGACTTTATATCTCGCAATTCTGACTTTATATCACGCAATTCTGACTTCATATCTCGCAATTCTGACTTTATATCTCGCAATTCTGACTTTATATCTCGCAATTCTGACTTTATATCACGCAATTCTGACTTTATATCTCACAATTCTGACTTTATATCACGCAATTCTGACTTCATATCTCGCAATTTTGACTTTATATCTCGCAATTCTGACTTTATATCACGCAATTCTGACTTTATATCTCGCAATTCTGACTTTATATCTCGCAATTCTGACTTTATATCACGCAATTCTGACTTTATATCTCGCAATTCTGACTTTATATCTCGCAATTCTGACTTTATATCACGCAATTCTGACTTTATATCTCGCAATTCTGACTTTATAACACGCAATTCTGACTTTATAACATGCAATTCTGACTTTATATCTCGCAATTCTGACTTTATATCTCGCAATTCTGACTTTATAACATGCAATTCTGACTTCATATCTCGCAATTCTGACTTTATATCACGCAATTCTGACTTTATAACACGCAATTCTGACTTTATAACACGCAATTCTGACTTTATATCTCGCAATTCTGACTTTATAACACGCAATTCTGACTTTATAACATGCAATTCTGACTTCATATCTCGCAATTCTGACTTTATATCTTGCAATTCTGACTTGATATCACGCAATTCTGACTTCATATCTCGCAATTCTGACTTAATATCTCGCAATTCTGACTTAATATCACGCAAATCTGACTTTATATCACGCAATTCTGACTTTATATCTCGCAATTCTGACTTTATAACACGCAATTCTGACTTTATAACATGCAATTCTGACTTTATATCTCGCAATTCTGACTTTATATCTCGCAATTCTGACTTTATAACATGCAATTCTGACTTCATATCTCGCAATTCTGACTTTATATCACGCAATTCTGACTTTATAACACGCAATTCTGACTTTATAACACGCAATTCTGACTTTATATCTCGCAATTCTGACTTTATAACACGCAATTCTGACTTTATAACATGCAATTCTGACTTCATATCTCGCAATTCTGACTTTATATCTTGCAATTCTGACTTTATAACATGCAATTCTGACTTTATATCACGCAATTCTGACTTCATATCTCGCAATTCTGACTTAACCCTCCTATTATCCTTGGGGTCAATTTGACCCCATTCTATGTTTAACGTCTGTAAAAACATAATTTTATTTATTTTTTTTGCTTCAAATTTAATGACTTTTCCTAATTTAATGGTGTTGTGGAAATGATTCTCTGTTATTCGAAAAGATAGGAGGAAGAAGACAAGTGGAAACCTTTTCAAAAGTCAAAGTATCAAAAGTTTATTTTCTTGCAAGAAAACAAATCCAATCTTTTGGCGTTCAACATACAGAACAGTGTCTACATGTGAAGGCGAAGGCTAGTCCTTCTCATCATCCTTATATACCTGAAAACCCAGGAAACCATGCAGGCTATATCTGGTTTTGCTACCGATTGTCTCCTACACCATCTAGCAAGGAAACATGTTTGCGCTGCTCTTGACTATTCTTGTAGACCGTATATTTAATTTGGACAGCACAATGACGTTTTTGTTAAGTTTCCTATGTTCAAGTACAGATTGACTTCACACCTCAATTTATCTCTTGGTTGCAAGTTCTGTTCGACCTCACACCTTTCTGCTCAATTTATCTCTTGGTTGCAAGTTCTGGTTTATCTTTTGTTTGATCAAAACCCTGCACAAATATAACTCACACTTGAAATACAATGAGCTATTAAAATGTTTCCATGCTGCTTGCTTCTTTGTTAAACACAGAACATTGTCCTCACACTAAGCTTACATTACTTATGCATTTCTAACAGTTTAGTTATACCTTAAGCTTACTCTAACTTATGCATTTCTAACAGCTTGTTATATCTTTAACAATGTCCTTTGGATTACATGAACATCTTCCTTTAAATGCTTATGAGTATATGTTAGATGATATGAATATTTTCCTTTAAATGCTCATGAATACATCTTCTCCAACGTTAGTAAAAGTTACACACACATCTATCACATCTTAAAGTCCCCATGAACCGGAAGTTGCAAACGATTTTTCTCCAGTGCTGTGACGTATTTCCAAGTGAAACGGAATATTGAACAGAGGGCAGGGTTTTACTCTAGCGCTCCTCCTCTCCATCTCTCGCTCATAGCAAACTAACGGTTTGAGGGGAGTGGTTAAGCGTTTCCCCACCCAAGTTGTGAAACCTACGTCATCAGAAAAAGAAACCGTTCCAGACCGGAAGTAACTTTTCAGATTTTGATTAAAGATTACCAAGGTAAAACATTTTTTAAATATATTTTTACTTGCACGGATTAATTGTTCACCACAAGACTAGTAATATGCGCTAACAAAGTAAATAGGTTCAATTTTGATTTCACGGGGACTTTAATGAAATAAAAGAAAACATATAAAAGAAAATAAAGATCATATATGAATGAAAAGAAACTTGTATAAATGTAAATGCAAAATTAGCCATTACAATGGGGACAACTCTGTAAACATAAAATTAACCTGCTAATATTTTTTCAAAGTCCTGTACAAATTTTGTAACATCGGTGTTCCTTGGGGTCAATTTGACCCCAGGCTCTTTTAGATGTATAATAAAACAGAAGAAATATTAAAATTTCACACACATTTGTTTTGGTTGTTACATTGAGGTCATTATAACATGTTATAATTTGAATTTATAATGTTCATTGTATTTTTACATATTCAATATCATTTTCAAAAAACGTCCCTCTGTTTTAGGGCTCTAACCAAACATAACCATATCTGTAGTATTGCGAGAACTACTAGTAGTTCACATGACATGTGACATAATTCTCAAGATAACTAATAATTCTTCCCTGTGTATTTGGGAGGGGAAAACATCATTTTTGTGAGAAATTTGATGTTTCCCGTGCCAGGGGGGAGGAGAAAACATCATTTTTTGTGAGATTGACCCCAAACATAACTCGTGTTACTATCCTTGATAAAATAGTTTTTCTTTCCAAATGTCATAGATTACATAAATCTGTACTTAGAAATATTATAAAACAAATAAAACACCAGATGTATTTATACTTTTCCAATTTTAGGTCAAATCAGTAAGATTTTATGTTGATTTGTGAATTTGTCCATAGTCGTGCAATGGGTATTCTGGATGTGTGAGGGGTTAGGTGGGGTTAGGTGGGGTTAGGTGGGGTGGGGAGGGGGGTGGTGGGTGGATGTCAACTTAAAACGTTACTTAAGTAGTCAACAAAGACATAAATTAACTGAGACAAACCTTTTTTTTTTTAAATAAACATATTGTGGAGGTTTAAATTACTGGGGTCAAATTGACCCCAGAGGGTAAAAAGTGTTATCAGATTTGAGGGTAACAGGAGGGTTAATATCTCGCAATTCTGACTTAATATCACGCAAATCTGACTTTATATCACGCAATTGCGACTTTATATCTCGCAATTCTGACTTTATAACATGCAATTCTGACTTTATATCTCACAATTCTGACTTCATATCTCGCAATTCTGACTTTATATCTCGCAATTCTGACTTTATATCTCGCAAATCTGACTTTATATCACGCAATTCTGACTTTATATCTCGCAATTCTGACTTTATATCTCGCAAATCTGACTTTATATCACGCAATTCTGACTTTATATCACGCAATTCTGACTTTATATCTCGCAATTCTGACTTTATATCTCGCAATTCTGACTTTATATCTCGCAAATCTGACTTTATATCACGCAATTCTGACTTTATAACACGCAATTCTGACTTTATATCTCGCAATTCTGACTTTATATCTCGCAATTCTGACTTTATATCACGCAATTCTGACTTTATATCTCGCAATTCTGACTTTATATCTCGCAATTCTGACTTTATATCTCGCAATTCTGACTTTATATCACGCAATTCTGACTTTATCTCGCAATTCTGACTTTATAACACGCAATTCTGACTTTGGTATCTCGCAATTCTGACTTTATATCACGCAATTCTGACTTTATATCTCGCAATTCTGACTTTGGTATCTCGCAATTCTGACTTTATATCACGCAATTCTGACTTTATATCACGCAATTCTGACTTTATATCACGCAATTGCGACTTTATATCACGCAATTCTGACTTTATAACACGCAATTCTGACTTTAATATCTCGCAATTCTGACTTTATAACATGCAATTGCGATTTTATATCATCCAATTCTGACTTTATATCTCACAATTCTGACTTTATAACACGCAATTCTGACTTTATAACATGCAATTGCGACGTTATATCTCGCAATTCTGACTTTATATCTCACAATTCTGACTTTATAACACGCAATTCTGACTTTTTAACATGCGATTCTGACTTTATATCACGCAATTCTGACTTCATATCTCGCAATTCTGACTTCATATCTCGCAATTCTGACTTTATATCATGCATTTCTGAATTTAACACACAATTGCGACTTTATATCACGCAATTCTGACTTTATATCTCGCAATTCTGACTTATATCACGCAATTCTGACTTTATAACATGCGATTCTGACTTTATATCACGCAATTCTGACTTTATATCTCGCAATTCTGACTTTATATCACGCAATTCTGACTTTATATCATGCATTTCTGAATTTAACACACAATTGCGACTTTAGATCACGCAATTCTGACTTTATATCACGCAATTCTGACTTTATATCTCGCAATTCTGACTTTATAACACGCAATTCTGACTTTATAACATGCGATTCTGACTTAATATCTCGGAATTCTGACTTTATAACATGCAATTGCGACTTTATATCTTGCATTTCTGACTTAATCACACAATTCTGACTTAATGTCTCACAATTCTGACTTTATAACATGCAATTCTGACTTTATATCTCACAATTCTGACTTTATATCATGCATTTCTGAATTTAACACACAATTGCGACTTTATATTCGCAATTCTGACTTTATAACACGCAATTGCGACTTTATATCACGCAATTCTGACTTTATATCTCGCAATTCTGACTTTATAACACGCAATTCTGACTTTATAACACGCGATTCTGACTTAATATCTCGGAATTCTGACTTTATATCTCGCAATTCTGACTTTATATCTCGCAATTCTGACTTTATATCTCGCAATTCTGACTTTATAACACGCGATTCTGACTTAATATCTCGGAATTCTGACTTTATATCTCGGAATTCTGACTTTATATCTCGCAATTCTGACTACATCTCACAATTCTGACTTTATATCAGGCAATTCTGACTTCATATCTCAGAAGTGCGAGATGTAAACTCGCAATTGTGAGAAAAAAAGTCAGAATTGTGAGATAAAAAGTCGCAATTACCTTTTTTATTTGTGCCGGCCAGTGGGTAAAAATGAAGATGCTTCTGTTGAGCCCAGACAGGGGAGGATTTCCTCTTTCTTGCTGGCTCCATTAGGCTACCATGAAAAAGGAAGATGTCATAAAAAAAAAAAACAAATCCAAAAGGGCAATCCAAATCAAAAAGCAGTCCAGTCCAGATCCAAAAATCCAAAGCAATCGAAATAATCTTGTCTAATTAATATAACAAGGCTATAGCTTGTATAATTGGTAATAACAATATTAATTATTATTAATAACTGATATAGTGTAATAATATACAGCCCCTAACACATATATGACACAATAATAACGATAATGAGATTTCTCTGACTGACTCTCTGACGCTACTACAACTGCTTCTACTGTTCCTGAAACAGCCACAAGGTGGCGCGAGCCGAACCGCAGACCGAACCGATGACGTTTTTACACTAACGGTTGTCATTAGTCACGTGATTTTCACGGTAACAAATGGCTCTGAATGTCAAAACAAGCCACGATTCGCGGCTTCATCAGGCACGCCCCTTTTTCTCGACACAAGCTCCGACGGATCGGTTCAAATGTCACATCACTAACTAGAAGTTTTGAAACGAGCAGGAATATCTGGAGGTGCTGCAACTGAACTGAGAAGAAGATGTTTGTTAAAGAACAGGAGATTGAGGAGAACTCGAGTGAAGCAGCAGATCCCTGGAGAATAAAACACGAGGAACAAGCAGGTTGGTGTCTATTTTTCTTTAATGACTGTTGTGGTACATTAAGATAACACAGATTTAGACACGAGGTATCCGCTGAAAAAGTTCTTAGGCTACTAGAACCATGTTGTATTATTAACACTTTTAACAGTTGAGTAAAGTTGGCAATACACTCACAAAGTCGAACTAAACATTACACAAATGAAACCACTTTTGAATCGTAGTACAAATAACTTCACTGTCACACACTTTAGTGTCACCAAATTCAGTTAATACACCACTGCTGTCTTGATGGTTATACTACAACACTTATTTTGGTAACTTATACAAGTATTTTCGCATAATTTTATGATTTTTATTAATGGAAAATATTCAATAACTTCACTGTAATGCACTGCATTGTTACCAGATTCAGTTCAAGCATAACTGCTGTCCTGCTGGTTATACTGTATGGGATTTTATAAAACATTCAATAACTTCACTGATAATTCACTGTATTGTTGCCAAATTAAGTGTACACATTACTGCTGCCCTTTTGATTAGACTACAACACATATTTTGGGGTGGCATTTTTTTTTTATTTGTATACACAATTGTAAATATATAATTTATTGCGATTTAAATTATTTATTAAGATATAAAAAAATTCACTTTAACAACTGTTAGTGTCTGATGGAGTGACGAGGACTGTCTCAACAAATCTCTGTGCATTCAATTCAATTTAAAGAACTTTATTTATCCGTTAGGAACTTCATTCGTGTTGAGCATCAACAATGCGTGTACAGTTGCACAAACATAGCACAGTATACCACACTCGCACAAGTAATAAATAGTAATAAATAAATAAAGCTTGCAAAGCACAATAAGTACATGATAAATAAGCAGGTATTAAAAAGGTTACGTTAAAAATATATAAAATAAGAAGAGATAAATAATTCACGAATATGCACACATGGACATACATCTTGGTGAATGAGTGTGATGGAAATTATTTTTTAAACGCAGACCTGCTTGTGTGCTTTATTAAACATAGATGTGTTTATATTCTAGACAGATGTGTTTCTACAACATAGATGTGATCTTATATACAGTAGATGTGTTCTTATTTTATATAGATGTGAATTCTTTTAAACGTAGAGTGTGTTAAAGAAAACTGCTAGATGCATTTCCTCCTTTGCAAGTGGGACGTGAACAATGTACAAACAGTCTGTACATTGTCCAAAATAGATAAGCTTGCTTGTGCTAGAGCAGAAACATGTTTTTCAGGAAGGAGATGTCTTTAGGAAATTACCTGTGTTGTCACTGTGAATAAATTAAGAAGAGGTGTTAGACTGTCAAGGGGCCTTAAGTGGGTACGAACAAAGGCTGTTGAAGTCCGAGAACTGTGTGAGGAACTGAGATAAAAGGGGGAGTTGTACTGTTTAAAATATAAATTGGGTAAGGGGAGGAGACCTTTGCGCTTCTCATGTTAGACACTTGTCATGTGTGAACTGCCTTTCTTATAAGAAATAAATACTCGTGCTTATAATTTGAGATCTTCACTTGTTGTTTAAGATTCAGGGACTTAATTTCCATAACAATAAGTTTATCAACTATTCATGTTTCCAATAGAAGTAGGCACAAAACTTGTCTTGGCTCCCTTAGTCCTCTGTATCTCTGACCTGAGGGTAAAATACTATAGTGACTGTGCAATGTGTGAGTGGTGTCAGTAGGGCTGGGTATCGTAACAAGATGTTCGATACCGGTTCCTGAACGATACTTTTTTCGATACTGTGATAGCTATTTTTACATTTACGTTTAGATATGTTTCTTTTCTTTTATATGTGTTCTTTTATTTTCTTCTATATGTTTTCTTTTATTTTATTAGATGTCTTAGATGTGTGTAACTTTTACTAGCGTTGGAAAAGATGTTACTCATTAGAGCCAGACCGATATATCGGCAGACCGATATTATCGGCCGATATTAGGCATTTTCCAAACTATCGGTATCGGCAGTTAAAATGGCCGATAAATGAATATTTCAAAAATAAAAACGTACGAAACACGCTTGAACCATGTCATGAGTGTTGGAGTTGTATAGTTTGTCCACCAGAGGGCAACTCGTTGAGTTGGTCATGGTACATACATTGCTTGAATAACAATTAAAAGAACATCCCCATCAGTTCTCTTAACTCAAATAAGCATTTGTGACTATTGTGACATTTGTGACAAAATTTGTGACTATCATGTCCAGTTTTGCTGCTGTTAAATAAACCGAGAGTGAAGCGGAATTAGCTAGTAATAGTTATGTTACGTTGTTACAGTGTAGTTGACTGACTGTCCTTTTAACTTTTGACAATGTGACTGAAGTATTTCTTTAATAGCGCGTGACAGTTATAGCAATAAGACGTATCATCTCTCCTTGGCCTGTTATATTGAAAATGTATGTTTTACAATTTACAGTATAATGCAATCATTGCTAAATTATGGCTCATCATAGACTAGCTAACCATAAAGCTAGCTAATGCCACTATCATCAGTCTGTTCTGTTGTGACAATAAAAGAAACAAGTTTCTTTTTAAAATGCATTATCATATTATTTTAGTTAAATCTCATAAATAACTAAAAATAACTAATGTTAGGGAAATCGGTTAATGTTTTGTTGCGCGTTTCTGAAATAAAAAATAAATAAAAAGAATATCGGCCGATACATCGGAATATCGGATTTTAAAACCCAAAAATATTTGTATCGGTATCGGCCTTCAAAATCCTTTATCGGTCGGGCTCTATTACTCATCATAAGCATTTAAAGGAAGATGTTCATATAACCCAAATGACATTATTAAGATGTAACCAAGCTGTTAGAAATGCATAAGTTAGTGTAAGCTTCGTTTCAGAACAAATTGTTCTGTAGTTAACAAAGGACCAAGCAGCATGGAAACATTTTTGTGCACCCCCAAATAGCTCATTGTATTTCAAGTGTGAAATGTATGTGTGCAGGTTTTGATCAACCGAGATATAAGCAGAAAGTTGTGAGGTCGAACGGCAGTTGGGAGTGTTAAGTCAAACTGCAATTAAACACAGGAAACTTTAACATAGATGTCATTGTTCTGTCTAAAATAAATATATGGTTAACGAAGAATAGGTCAAAGCGACGTCAACATGTTTCCTTTAACTGCATAGGGGACAATCTTCTGCAAAACAGATGCATTCTGCATAGGTCTATTTCCTGGGTCTAAGATATAAGCAGGTCAAAAAGGGATAAGCTTCGCCTTCACATGTAGACACTGTCTGTATGTTGAATGCCATTTCAATTCTTCAATACAATACAATATTGGTTTTACAATATCATTGCCAAACCACAGGGGGGTTGGATGCGGTCTGTCACCGATATACATGCACTTGGTTTTTGTCCCATCAGGTGGGGTTGCACTGAATTAAAAGCACCAGTCTGATGAATGACCTGGGCTTTTCAAGATGGGAATAAGTGCCATGAAGCAGTGTTAGTATGGCATCATCAACACCTCTGTGCTGTTTGTATGCAAACTGAATGGGTCAATGTGCAAAATGACCTGAAGCTGGGCAAGAACAAGCCTTTCATTACCAAAGATGTTAACACCACAGGCCGGTAGTCATTGTTGCAGGTGGGATAGCTCTTTTTGGCTATTCAGACTGATCTCATGAAGTAGCGTGTGTATGACACGCCAATTCGTATTTCCATTTTTGGCGTGCTATCAAGACGCATAATCGCCTTTCAGCGTGTTTATAAACGCCGTTGACTTAACGTTATATAAATATATGACTTACCTCAACCCCGTCCCTAAACCTAACCGTCACTGGGGTTAATGGCATTTATGACTGTTCCCTTACCATCCTAGGTAAAATAAAAGATATGACTTACTTCAATCCCATCCCTAAACCTAACCGTCACTGGGGTTAATGGCATTTATGACTGTTCCCTTACCATCCTAGGAAAAAAAAGATATGACTTACCTCAACCTCATCCCTAAACTTAACCGTCACTGGGGTTAATGGCATTTATGACTGGAGATTTGACTGCGTGTTCAGACACGCGGAATGACGCGGACGTTAATGGCGTAGACATATACGTATACACGCGAACACACGCGGATAGCACAAAATGCGTGGAGATAACACGCCACCTGACTCGAAAGTAGCGTATATGTTTACGCAAAAGTCATGATGTCATGTTGGGCTATTGGAAAAATGACTGAAAGGGATACTCCACTTTTTTTTTGAAATACGCTCATTTTACAACTCCCCCAGAGTTAAACTGTTGAGTTTTACCTTTTTTGAATCCATTCAGCCGATCTCCGGTTCTGGCGGTACCACTTTTAGCATAGCTTAGCATACATCATTGAATTGCACAAGACCAGTAGCATTTCTCTCAAAAAAATTACCTAAGTGTTTCGATATTTTTCCTATTTAAAACTGGACTCTTCTATAGTTACATCGTGCACTAAGACAGACGGAAAATGTAAAGTTGCGATTTTCTAGACTGATATGACTAGGAACTATACTCTCATTCCTGCGTAATAATCAGGAAACTTCCCTGTCGTACCATGAGCGCAGCAGGCGTAATGTTATGACGCAGCGCCTGAAAATAGTCCCCAGCTTCTAACGTGACCGGGACTAAGTTTGTGTTGTCATCGCGCCTGCTGCACTCATATATATACTCGTACATAGAAATAAAGTTAAGTGATAAAATATTTGCTTTGTTGTGCATAATCCCACCATGTATTTAGTCATATTACAAAATAATTTATTGAAGCATCCAGATAGTTCACCACGTGAGCAAGCAGCTAGGCTCCTGATTGGTTAACGCGGCGCGAATTGACGCCAAAGTTCAGATTTTTCAACTCGCGTCAAACGCGTGAATGCACAAATAGCACTAACTAAATCATTCGCGCTTAACGCGCCAGACGCCTCTCGACGAATGAGGCGTATTCGCATCTTCCGCGCCGCGCTCTACGCCTCATTCGCGCCGCAGGAATTTTTTACGCGCGTAACGCGTCTTTTGCATTGACTTAACATTGAAATCATCCGCGCCTGACGCGCTATTCGCGTCCGGTGTGAAAGCACCATTATAATGTCCAACATGGGCAAACATTCATAGAAACCGTGATGTTACTAAACACTTGCACTCGGGAGCACATCTAAATAACTAGATAAACAAAAGAACGCAACAGGACGCTCACCACATGTCGCCATCACAACGCCACATCACAGTATATTATTGTGAATGTGAAGTTACATTAGGAGAAGGGCTTTTATCCTCCTCCCCGCTATGATCTGATGAGGGACCATGGTGGAGGGCCATCAAAGATGGGGCCATCTGTCTAGTTTAATTTCCCCTTTGTCAAACTCAGACATCATTCGGACACACTTTGGGCCGTGTTGGAGACATTTTCACAGCAGTGCACAGATCGCTCGTGTCTCAAGTAAATGGGAGCGGGAATCCACACCTTATGAACTTGGGACTTGAGGGATTTAACACTGAATGCAAAACCCCCAACCTCACACTAAATGTCAGGCCCTGTAGATAGGCTAGTGTAACCCCTCCATCCGGGTCCAACTCGACCCGCTCCGAGCGGGCCTCGAACCCGGGTCTCCGGCATGAGAATCGGGCACTCTAACAAGGAAGCTAAAGACTGCAGCCTCTAGCGTCTGTCGCTAGAGTGCCTATTGAGGTCAGAGGAGTGAGGTTTACTCACACAGCAACTACTAGCTGGCCTTCGTTACACTCACCCCCCTAAACCTCACTCTCATCCGGGTCACGGCACCAATGTAACCCCTCCATCCGGGTCCCACTCGACCCGCTCCGAGCGGGCCGAGAACCTGGATCTCCGGCATGAGAGTCGGGTGCTCTAACAAGGAGGCTAAAGACTACAGCCTCTAGCGTCTGTCGCTAGAGCGCCTATTGAGATCAGGGGAGTGAGGTTTACTTGCACAGCAACTACTAGCTGGCCTCCGTTACACTCACCCCCCTAAACCTCTCTCTCATCCGGGTCACGGCACCAATGTAACCCCTCCATCCGGGTCCCACTCGACCCGCTCCGAGCGGGCCTCGAACCTGGATCTCCGGCATGAGAGTCGGGTGCTCTAACAAGGAGGCTAAAGACTACAGCCTCTAGCGTCTGTCGCTAGAGCGCCTATCGAGGTCAGAGGAGTGAGGTTTACTTGCACAGCAGCTACTAGCTGGCCTCCGTTACACTAGCCTGCATAAATAAAAATAATTTAGTAATCAGAAATGTAACACAGCATATTAGAGAAAGATGCTGACATCTCGATTGAATTGATGCTGGAAGAATGCACGTCCACAGCAGCCATGATTAACAGCGGTTGGCAGTTAAAGTTTTCCATGCAGAATTTGATATGATAACAGTCGCGAGACCGATTACTCGATCCAATCGCTTTGATGACTACAAATAAAATTAAAACAAGCATGTAATGAGTAAGGACCACAAACAGAGGGAAAATAGCGGAGTAAAAGGACCGATACATCACTTAAAATGTACTCCAAAGTACAGAATTTTTAAACAACCCAAAAAGTAACATTTCTGATAAAAACTACTTAATTACTGTAATGTGAGTATTTGTTATTCGTTACTTTACACCCCTGGTTGTTGAATTCCAAATCAAAATAAATGTACCACATTCATGGAAAGATACTTATTTAATAAAATTATTGTAGTGTTTTATAGCAGTTGACTATTACATCAGAGCTCACTTGTATGTCCTTTCACTACATATTTCTCTATTTGAATTATTTTGATCTACTAAAAATTAAATTCATATTTTTCTTTCATGTCAGACCTGATGGAAGAGAGCGATGAGAGAGAAGAACTGAGTGAAGAGGAGGAGGAACATCATGTCCAACCTGGAGAAAAACCTTTGAGTCGTTCAAAGACTAAAAAGACATTTTTAAAGAAGAGAAGAGCCAAGAAATCTTTCACCTGCACTCAGTGTGGAAAGAGTATCACAACCAAACTTAGTCTAGAGACTCACATGAGAATCCACACTGGAGAGAAGCCGTTCTCATGTGATCAATGTGGATGGAGCTTCAGACAAAAACCAAATCTTAAGAAACACATGATGATCCACACCGGAGAGAAGCCGCATGAATGTGATCAATGTGGGACAAGCTTCGCAGCTAAAGTATGTCTTCAGGAACACATGAGGATCCACACCGGAGAGAAGCCGTTCTCATGTGATCAGTGCGGGAAGAGTTTTCCATACCAACGAAGTCTTGATGTTCACATGAGAGTTCACTCTGAAGTGAAGCCGTTCACCTGCGATCAGTGCGAGAAGTGTTTCACACAAAAAATACACCTTAAGATTCACATGAGGATCCACACTGGAGAGAAGCCGTACGCATGCGATAAATGTGAGAAGACATTCACAATTTCATCACACCTTAAGAGTCACATCATGATCCACACGGGAGAAAAGCCGTTCATGTGTGATCAGTGTGACAAGAGATTCCCAAACAAACGAAATCTTGATTTTCACTTAGGAGTTCACACCGGAGTGAGACCGTTCGCATGTGATCAGTGCGAGAAGAGTTTCATGGATTCTTATAAACTTAAAAGACACATGAAAGTCCACACTGGAGAGAAGCCGTACGAATGTGATAAATGTGGGACGAGTTTCACGGAATCATCAAAACTTAAGAGACACATGAGGATCCACACCGGAGAGAAGCCGTTCACATGCGATACATGTGGAAAGAGTTTCAGGGATTCAGGAGATCTTAAGAAACACACAAGGATCCACACTGGAGAAAAGGCTTTCACGTGTGATCAGTGTGAAAAGAGATTCTCAAACAAAGAAAATCTTAGGCTTCACATGAGAATCCACACTGGAGAGAAGCCGTTCACATGTGATCAATGTGGGAAGAGTTTCGCACAAAAATCATGGCTTGATGTTCACATGAGAGTTCATACTGGAGAGAAGCAGTTCATGTGTGATCGGTGTGAAAAGAGATTCGCTCGGAGACAAAATCTTAATGCTCACATGAAGATCCACACCGGAGAGAAGCCGTTCTCATGTGATCACTGCGGCAAAACATTTCTGCTGTCATCAAACCTGAAGAAACACCTGACCGTTCATACGAAGGAGAAGCCGTATTCATGTTCTGTGTGTGGAAATAGTTTTTCACTGCTGCAAAGTTTACAAAAACATCAGAAAATACACACTGGTGTAAGAGAGTTCATGTGCTTTGAGTGTGAGAAGACTTTTATTACAGCTCAACATTTAAAACTGCACCAGAGAATTCACACTGGAGAAAAACCTTACAAGTGTTCACACTGCGACAAGAGATTCAGTCTGTCTGGAAATCTGAAAGCGCATGAGAAGATCCACAGCAGAGAGAAGCCGCACACGTGTGATCAGTGTGGAAAGAGTTTCTCTATTAAAAATCAGCTGAAGATACACATGAAGATCCACACAGTGGAGAAACCACCTAGTGGAGAAACCAATTAGTTTCCTAACAGCCATGATGAGGGGCAGGACAGATTGTATGGTGGGCGTTGTGACAATTTTATTTTGTGATCTTGAAGACTTCTACGAACTACTCATCAATTGAATCATCAAGATTGTCATATTTTATGTCTTTATAAAAGGCTTAACTACACTGTAATCAATTTAAGCCTCAAAACTATGTATATTTCCTTTGAAAAATGGTTGGTATTATTAGTGAAATGTTCTCTATTTTCAATAAATCACTGAACCACAATTGTCTTAATTAAAAATATTGTGTATTTTATTATCACCTTAATTTTTGAAAATTGCGAATGAAAAATTACAAGACCTATTGTCATGGAAAATGCGGACTAAAGCACAGAATCCAGTCATAAAAATGTATTTTACTGAAATCTATGAAGAATAAATCAAAAGCAGGCCAGTAAAGACTTCAATTAAATCAATCACGAAATGGACTACACAGATGTTGATGTTAGATGTTGATGGTTTAGTCACCATTTTAAAAAAAATATTGGGAAAATAATCTTTGGACAAACACACAGACATCAAGAATCCACATATGAATCTCAACAATGGTGAAATGCTTTATGCCGCAATGCATTCTGGGAGGCACCATAGTTTAAAACTCTTGGCTCCCAGCATGCATTGTAGCATGAAGCATGTCACCATTGTTGAGATTCATATGCTGATTCATGATGTCTGTTTGTTTCTAAAAAACAAAAAGTGTAATGATTTTCAAAAACTGTCTGTAATGTATATAAAAATTCAGAATGTCTGCTCTGTGTCAAGAAAGGTGAAAGTTATTTATTAAAGAAAACAAATTACAACTTTTGATCAGGGATAAGATTAGAGAACCAGTCTATTTTTTAATTTTTAGTATGAAAACTACTATACCTGAACACGGAGGCACCATAGTTTAAAACTCTTGGCTCCCAGCATGCATTGTAGCATGAAGCATGTCACCATTGTTGAGATTCATATGCTGATTCATCATGTCTGTTTGTTTCTAAAAAAACAAAAGTGTAATGATTTTCAAAAACTGTCTGTAATGTATATAAAATTCAGAACGTCTGCTCTGTGTCAAGAAAGGTGAAAGTTATTTATTAAAAACAAATTACAACTTTTGATTAGAGATAAGATTGATTGCACTTAAAATGCTAAACGTCCAACTGCTCAACTAAATTAAACACTGATCACAATAATAGTGACCAAACATTCGTAGACATTTGACAGAAATAAAGTCGGTCTGGTTAGTAATAAGTGAAGCTGGTAATGCTGTTTGTGGAGTTTTTTAATCCTCCTCTACTGAGATCTTCAGAGATTTAATGTCTTCTTTGTATCTTCGTCTGATTTAATCTAAGGCTGTGACTGGAAGTCAGTTGTAGTTCTTGTGTTTTTCTTTCCTTCAGTGATTCTGCTTGTTAACAGTAGTTGTTCACCACTAATACTCAATCATCACCCAATTAGTCACTTAATTATCTCATTAACTTTAACACTCTGTAGAGTGGGACCATATACACTCTGAGCAGAGTTGATTTAAAGGGTATATATCATGCTTTTAAATCATTCATTTTTACATATAAATCATACCGTTGTGGTCTATATAAAACATAACTGCAATCCTTGGGTCTGAATTCCTCAATATTATAGCTCCACAAGCCCCTTTTCTACCCCTTTTCTGATGTGCGTCTGTGAGCGACCCGTTTCAAAGCGGCCCCTTTAAATAAAAAGGAGATGCGTCATACCCCGCCGCTCTCCAGGTCGATGAGTTCACGGTCGGTTCAACTCCCCGCGTTCGGCCATTATTGTAGTTTGATTAGAGATATACGATTATATACGATACCTTCAAAGAACATTTTTATTCACACGTTAACAAAATGTCAACAACAGAAGACTTGTCCATCAAGCCTTACATATTCGAGGCAGAGCGAGCGAGTTGATAAAGATGACGGCGAACCTGCAGAACAACCTCTTCTTTGGTATGCGAGTTAACTGTTTTGTGTTATTAGTGAAAGTCGACTATTTCTCTTGTTAAAACAAGCACACTGACAAGATAAATGACTACGGTCCAATCTTACCACTAAAAATCTGTATTGATAATATGATACGTTTAGAAAAGCATTAGAAAAGCAGCTAAATGACCATTGATGAAACTCAAGAACAATAATACTGCAGACGTGTAACGTTACTTCAAAACCAAAACAAAGAAAGACAAAGGTACTGCTAAACCATGACCACCATGTGTTTTAAGAAAGTAAAGTACTTTATTTTTATTAACGATATTTACAGCTTATCGAAATGCTCTGTTCGTCGTCTCCAACAATAGAAGGAATTGACCCCTCTTTCAGACGAAGTCAATCGGCAAACCCTTCTTTATACTGGCGGAGGTTGTTGAAGTGGGAATCCTTGAAGTGCTTCAGGTCACTAACAATTGAACATTTTGACTTGCCCTCTCGTAACTTCTGCATCATTGAGCTCGGACTACAAAATCGGAGCGAGAAATAATAATAATGGCGGATTGCTGGAAGTGTTGGGCCGGTGGTCAATGTCCTTATTTGTCAGTTCCGCTGCAAATACGGCGACGCACTTCCTCAAAAAACGTCATAGAGAACAGAAAAATCTGAACAGGTTGAAAAATATGACCAAAACAGAATATAAAGATATAAACGAAGCACCTGAAGAGAATAATTTCATCTTTTCTGTACTTATAAACACTCCAAATATACAACAAAATGCATTTAAGGGCTAAAAAAGTGGATTTTGCATGTTATGTCCCCTTTAACACTGGGGATTTTGCTGTGTAGTGTCTGAGAATATTAAACCACAAAAGACTGCATGCTCCGCGTGTCTCAATGAATGAACATTTAGTTTACCACACACACTGAAGCACTCATGACACTTGCTGTGTTTTCACTATATGAGGACATGAATGCATGAACTTCATCTCCAGAGCCACTCTGAGAATCACTTCATTATCATTTAACCGTTTCACTTGAGAGAAACTCGTCATATCATAATAAGAAGAAATTGTGACAAATATATTACTGTTGTACAGTAGAATGTAGCTATGTCTCAATGTAATAATAATATTAGAAATAATAATAATAAAAAAATTAACAGTAATCCTCTTGTGCAGCACTAAATTTGACAAATTTAATTTAAATAAAAAAATCAATTCAATTAATGTTTTATGCCTTCATGTGATTGCCAGAGAAATTAAAATACACAATACAAAATTTCTGAAAAACATAGCTCAGAAGATGAAAGATGGCAGGCTTATCTGTAGTGCAAAGGTGGGTAGTGACGACGTAGGAGGTTGTCCAATGCTTAGTTGTTTGGTGAGTCGTTAGTCTGCTCATCAAAGTAGTATATGCACAGTGTTTGGTCAGCACCGCTTAGCAGTATCCACAGTTGACGAGCAATTGCTACATCCCTAACCAATCCTCTACAAGAAAAAACATCAAACACATCAATTACACTAAATAGATTCACCATCAGTTCACCCAAACATTTCACACAAACAATCAAACTTACTTTTGAGCAGGAAACAAACAGTTTCTCAGACAGGATTGGAAAATAGTTAGCAAACAACCATGAGGCAGAATCAAACAGACTTCAATATCACTTACTCTACTGCTTCCTGTTTTATCCCATATAATGTGCCCTCTTTCATGCCTCTAGTGGCTAGGAAGAAAATAGCACCCACAATTGTAATGAACGAAACCCTGTGACAGGCAGTGACTGTTACAACAAGGTGGTCAACTCACTTCAGATTCTCACGTGCCAAGAGTTCAACTTCAAAACGTTATGAATTTAAATATTTGAGTCAAATGTGCAAAATAAATATGGAAATATCAATTCAAGCAAACATTTGTTTATTGTAAAAATAGAAAGTACACTAAAAATGATGTGATCAAGAAGGGTCCGTGTAACGCTTTACACAATAAGTTAAGCAAATTTAAACTTTTTTTCAAACATTTTAGAGAGTTAATTTAATGTAATTTAAGTTGAAATGACTTAAACATCCAAGTTGATTGTACTTTTTATTTACAGTGTACACATCAGTTGAAATGACAGATATTTCCACTAGCGACACAGTGGGCATTTTTACATACAGTATATTTGTGCATGCATCTAATAGAGTGAACAGAAATAAGAGATTCATCAGACATGCCAAGCACATGGTTACATCTAAACTTCACAAATGTAAACTGTAATGCTGTTGCTGAATGAATGATGAGCACTGTTAGACCTTACCAGGTTCTCTTTACAGTAAAAAACTGGCAACAGTGTACAGACTCATTATAATAATAGATTTTATTTATAACGCACTTTTCATTCCAAAGAATCCCAAAGTGCTACATAAAAAGTACAATAATAATAGCTACAGGATACTAAAAACAATAAAACAATAAGACAATCAGCATATAAAAGCCTTTCTAAATAAAAAAAGTCTTCAGTTCTGCCTTAAAGGCATCCAGGCTCTGTACTTCTTCATTAGAGGGTGAAAACAACGCAACATGAGCATGTTAGAGGCTTGATCTGAACATGTTATCTCTGGTTTTGTATGCAAAAATAATGATTGAGCTAGCCATTTGGTTTCAGCTTCATAGGCTGTTAAACAGACACACGCAAAACGGAGCGCCGGCGCTCTCGTCGGTCTTAGAGGGTTAATACTGTGAAGCTGCTTTGAAACATAAAGATTTAAAAATAAAGGTGAAATGGTGTTTTTTCAATACCAATACATACAGGTAAGTCAAAGGGTCAAGATACCTCCATCGACCCCCTGTTGTATTGTGTGGTTTTTCACTGAATCACACACATCTTTTGTCTGACAGAAAGTATAAATGCTCTGAACCGACCAGTTTCTTCGCCCTCTGCTTCTGTCTTGGCTTTCACTCCTTCTTTACGGGTGAATGTGAAGGTCTTCCCCCGGGGTTGCAGATTTGTAAAGGAAAGGTTCGAAAAATATTGCTGAGCTTCTCGTTGTGACTCTTGTACCAAACGCAAGTATATTTTCTGCCATTCTGTCTGAGAGAGGCGTTTGTTCTGCTGTTTGATCTGCTTCACTTTCTGCTTCTGAATCTCCTGAATGTGTTTCTCTGTTTCTTTAAACAGGTCATTGGTGAAATGCGTCCCTCTATTTTCTTCCACCATCTTCTCTATTTTACGGATCAGATCTTTAAACTGTGGGAAACTTGCAGACTTGTTGTCTAGAAGGAAGAATCGGTTTCCACAACTCTCAACAAGGCTTTTAAGATCTTGATCACCGTCCTGTAGAAACTCTTCAATGGTTTGCTTTTTCTCCTCTAACTGATCTTTATGGGTGAAGATGATCATGGTGTATTTTAGTATGTCTTCTCCAAACACTTCTTTGAGATGTTGGACTGTGTTTTTCTCCTCCTCTGTGAATCGACCCACTCTAATGACGATGAGAAAAGCGTGTGGGCCTGGAGAGGATAATGTTACACATTTCACTATTTCAGTTTTAAACTCATCCTCACTGAGTTCAGTATCATAAAGTCCAGGTGTGTCGATCACTGAGATCTCTTTATTTAACCTCACTGTAGTTTCTGACTGACTCTGTTTCGTCTGAGACTTTGAACCGGCTGAAGATTCGAACATGTTTCTGCCGATGATGGTGTTTCCAGTGGCGCTTTTTCCAGCTCCAGTTTTTCCCAGCAGAACCAGTCTGAGATCTTTCTTCTCAGGAATCTCATCTGGATCTCCAGACTTTGCTGAAACTATATATATTCAATCAAATCAGTAACAAAACACACTCCAGGGATGCCTAACAAACTAGTGATGTACACTTACAAGTATTTAATAAAGTTGATAATAGTGGCAAAAATATATATATATATGTTAAAAAACTTACAATTAATAAGAAAACCTCTTTTACTGTTAGTCCTCTTCATTTGTTCCAAGGTCAATTTCCCTCCATTCTTCATCATCATTCCTTCAATCTTCAGCAGTAGTTCTTGTCTCTGACTCTCTGATTCTTTCTTGTTATTGAAACAGTGAAACCTTCCTCCACATTCAGTCACCAGTCGCTGGAGATCCGCATGATCTTCCAGATGTTCATCAATGGTCTGTTCAAGATCTTCCAGCTCGTCTTGACGTGTGAACAGAATCATGATGTACTTCTGGACATCAGGACCAAATAAACCTTTAATATAATCCAGGATCTCTTCCTCATTTTGCACAGGTTGCTCTAGAGGAACGGTGAGCAGAACTGCACTGAGACCTGATGAACATCGAGAGACCAGCTGATCCTTCATCATCTCCATCTTCTCTTCAGACAGATCTGGATCCAGTGGATCTGGAGAAATAAACACATGCACCTGCTTCTCTCCGATCTCTGTTTCACCCTCACAAACTTCAGACTCATGTTTCTTTAATTTAAACTTCTTTTCTCCCAGTATAGTGTTTCCAGATGAGCTTGCCCCAGAACCAAATCTGCCCATCAGAAGAACCCGGATCACTGGATCATCTGGACTGGAGCTGATCTCTGACATCTCTGAAATAAAAGTATAGAACAAGATCAGAAATCGGTCAGGTCAAGTTATCGTTCTACTCACTGCAGGTCGAGAGTAAGAAAAGTGCGAAACACACTTTCTAAACAATTGAGGTTTTTTTAACCCCTTAACGTCTGAATTTATATAGCTGTATATAAAAAAAGTTTTATGTGTGTTTTTGCCTTTAAGTAGATGGTAAATAATGTTGAGATTATCAATTTCACTTTTGCACAACAAATAAATGGACATTTTGGTATGTTGCAAATCTGCAACAGCGGGCATAATGGTCCATTTGGTATGTTGCAAATCTGTAACCGCGGGCATTAATGGTCAATTTGGGGTCAATTTGGTATGTTGCAAATCTGAAACCGTGGGCATGGTCAATTTGGAGTCAATTTGGTATGTTGCAAATCTGCAACAGCGGGCATAATGGTCAATTTGGTATGTTGCAAATGTTCCTGACCGGAGAAATCCTCGTGCATAAACAGGAAATAAGTCCGTCACTTTGAAACAAGTGCTTGTCGAAGGTCCATAGGTCCGTAGTGAATAAGCACAAACCGGCATTGGGGGAATGCAGACGTTATCTCGGCTGGTTGACTGAGACAAATGGTTTGTTGCATATTTGCGACAGTGGGCGTTAACTTTATTATTTATTTTGGGTAACTCTTCTGCTGCGTGTCACCGGTGCAGGCCGGGGCGGACTCGGATGACCAGTCGCAACTCTGACCGTGAGGAGCGACAGAAAGACAACCGAGGCGGGAGATAATTTCAAAGGAGTAACAATCTTTATTGATCACAATATAGCAATGAGAGTACAACGTTAATATACTTCAGCGTCTTCTCTAGGTGTTCTTCAGTTACGGATAGTTTCTGACCGAACGTCACCACTTCGCCCTCACGGCGACTCCACCAACGATACGGCTTCCTCCGGGACTCATGGTGCGTTCTATTATACCAAACGAACCGACTTTGACGTCACGTCCACGCTTCAAGCGTTCTATTATTATTTTGCTTGTCCGAGTCGGAGAAAGCTGTTGTAATGATAGCACTGGCCGAGTCACATTTAAATAAAAATATTACGACTACACCTTATCAAAATGCAGCCATTTGAACTTGAAAATGTTCACTTTATTTAAAGTTTTTCATGTTAATCTTCTGTTAGCAACGTTAGTGACTGCACTCAACAACCGATTCCCATACCTGCAGGGGACGCAGTAATACGAGTGATTATAATCGTCATTTAAAATACCAAAGCGGTTCAAAAACAATGAAAACAATTCATTCTTACAAGTCACAGGGCGCAGCCATTTTGAATTCCGAAACGGAATTCTCTCTCGGTGTCGTCACGGTTGTCCGACGTCCGAGAGGAGAAATCCGAGGAAAGGGGGCGTGTTGCTAGGCAACGTCTGTCGTCCGATTCGGATCTCGGAGACGGATGAATAATAGAACGCAGTATGGAGGTAAGGATTCTTCTCAATACAGGTTACTTTCTCAACGCACAGTAGTGAAACAGTGGTTTACTAGCTTACTTCAATCACCAGCGATGCTGCATACTTCCAGAATCAGACGGTAAGTAGGAGGGTAAGGATTCTCCTCAGTACAGATTACTTTTCACTTAGCTGAATCACTCGAGGCTCGAGCAGAATTAGTTTTCCACAAAACGTGTAAGCAGGGGGTTGAGGCCACTTCTCAGCAAAAGCACAACACACTCGTGTCCACTTCAAATCCACAGCCATAAATCCAGATATTTAAAGGGATACTCCACTTTTTTTGTAAATAGGCTCATTTTACAACTCCCCCAGAGTTAAACAGTTGGGTTTTACCGTTTTCAAATCAATTCAGCCGATTTTCTGATATTTAGAAGATTATCAGTAACCAGTGTTATGGAAATTTTTGTACCTACACTGTAAAAAATTTGGAGTAGGATTTACTTGAAAAAACCTTGCTAAACTATCTCACTCAGCAAATGCTAGTAAATTTACAAAGATTTGCCAAGTAAAAACCTAAACATATTTATCAGTAGCTTTAATTAGAAATCTTTAAGTTAAATTTACTTGGAATTAAGTAAACTTTACAGAAAATACGTCATTTTAACTCTGCTAGTAAAAGGTTGATTAACATCTATTTCCTTTGCCTTTGTATTACATTTCACTAAAACAATAATCTGGAAATTTATTAGTCATTTATAGTATGTGCTTTACTTAGATCATCTAAGTAATTTATATATACATCATGTCAGATGTTAAGCATCATGTGAATGCAAACACCTCAATATTTGGTAGATAATACACAATGGCGGTAACATTTGATGGGTCGTTTTTGTGTTTGAATGTCATTTTGAGCAAAAAATTTACTCGAAATGTCACGAAATGGCAATTTACTAATACTGACAACAAAAATCAATGTAAATACAGCTGGAAACCAGTGAAAAATTAGCCTCATTAATTATTCAAGGTCCAGTGCATGATGGGAACCCCAGTATCAGAAAAGTTGAGTCATTTTTACATAATTTTATTGAGTTGATATTTACACTTTCATTTCTACTCGCTTCAATTAAGTACTGATATGGAATTTACTTAGTTTTTTAAATTCTTGCCTAAACTAACTTTTTCAAGTAAATTACATTTTGTTTTTTCACTTGTATTCTTCACCAAAAAATCATTTTTTACAGTGTAGATCTTAAAGAATAATTAAAGTACAATGAATATCTCAAAAGTCATAAGTATACATGTTTATTTCTTGCAAGAAAGGCAGTTCCCACACTGATATGAGAAGGGCAAAGAGCTTCCCATTTTACAGAGTTTATATACAAAATATCACCCTCCAATATGTACCCCCTCCTCTTCGTACACAGTTTCAGTTCCCCTTAATCACACACGTCTCGCTCTTTGTCTTGTGTTTAACGCACCCTAAGTTAGTTATTGTTACCGGGCAGAATTTTATGTCCTTTTGATCTGGCCTGTCTGTCCTATTTGCAATTTCCCTGACACATCCATTTACTGAAAAGGCACATCTATTGTATAAATCATCTCTGTCTAAAACAAGAAAACATCTATGTTTATAAAACACATGTTCAAAAAGAAAAGATACATAAAATGAAAGATAATATGATTGGTTCTTCATTTACTGCCTCTTCTGTTACTAGGTAGAGGAAACTTTCTTTAAATGATTACTTCATAGATGTCAGGTTCGAACTTAGTCATCTGTCTGGTTCCATTTCTCATGTTATTTATACACACAATCAGGTGTTTGACACACATACATTCATCTCAAGTACAGAATGTCTTAGTGCATTGTCTCAGAGATTTAGCAGATAAATGAGGTCAACTAATAAACCATGGTTGGATTAATATTCAGTTTAAAATTTTCTGGTCTCATTGACTTCAATAGTAGGAAAAAAAATATATACTATGGAAGTCAATGAGACCAAAAACTGTACTCATATTCTTCTAAATATCAGAAAATCGGCTGAAGTGATTAGAAAATGGTAAAACCCAACTGTTTAACTCTGCGGGAGTGGTCAAATGAGCCTATTTCCAAAAAAAAAAAAAAAGTGGAGTATCCCTTTAAATAAGGCAAAAGCACTGCAATTCACTCACACGATAAGGCTGGTCTGAGGCCACGATCCATTACACACACTCTCGTGAGGGATAGTCAATCTTCTGTTCTCCTCAACACACTCTGAAACCAGTGTTGTAGTACTCGAGACTCGGACTCGTCTCGGTCTCGAGACCATATTTTAATGGTCTTGGTCTTGTCATGGACTCGGAATTGACTCGTACTCGAACATTTTTTTTTTAGGACTCGGTTCAATTCAAAATATTTTTCATGATTATTAATGTATGTTAATAAAATATTTCTTTAAATTGATTGACACACCCAGTGATTGGTGATTTTCTAGTGTGCAACTGCGCATGACAAATTGTAATAAAATTACTTTTAACACCACCTACTATGCGGCCTTTTTACCCTAAACTGATCATATTTTTTAAACTCTAAGTAAATTCAGTAAAAAAAAAAAAAAATTAAAAAAAAAGGATTTCTCTAAGTAAATAAAAGTAAATTAGGTAATCAACCCTCACTGGTCTCGACTCGGACTCGACTCGGACTCGACTCTCTATGGACTCGGTCTTGACTCGGACTCGACTCTCTATGGACTCGGTCTTGACTCGGACTCGACTCTCTCTGGTCTCGGTCTTGACTCGGACTCGACTCTCTCTGGTCTCGGTCTCGAGTGAGGTGGTCTCGACTACAACACTGTCTGAAACACATCACTAGTCTCCTCAAGTTCAAATACCCATAGAATGAAATCAATTCACTTATCTTTCCTTCTCTCTTCACATCACAGATTCCATCCATAAATCAGTCCAGTGAATTCTCACAGATCCAGCAGACTCCAATGGGCGATTCCCACACCCAGACAACGTCAGAGCGAACTTGAATCCCAATACTACTCCAAGTAAACCAGCGCGCACTTCCACTGCAAGCAGACTGAACAAATGGACTCGACCCCTACTTCGACGACCAGACTGCTCAACCAGACTGAACACTGAAGCCTCTTTGAATAGTCCTTTTATCTTGGCTTGTAAAAATGGAAGCCTATGGGAAACGCCGCTCTCTTCTCTCCCGCACCTTAGCGCTAATCAGGCCGGTCAATGTTTCCGCCCTACCCGGAACCGGAGTGGGATGTGTCGCACACTAATCGCTCCCTCCGGAAACTCATGTCTATGCAGTCTGCCGGTGTCTATCGATTCCTGACCTGCAGTCACATCATGTTATACCATGTGCAGGACTCCTCATGCGTTTTAAATGAAATTAAACCATTTATATGCACAAGTTATTATTGTATATTATTATAGAGACTTGCGCAATGCACTTTTAATCCCAATGTTTTTTCTAGCCGACCAACACTGAGAAAACAATTAATACTTTACATTTATTAAAAAAAAAATTAAGTGTTGCTTATAGCAAACCAGTCTTATGACCACTAAGTATTTTTTTA